TAAATTTCAATTGAAGAAGTTTGAGCCGAGTTATAGCGATCCGGCACTTCCGACGCGACATTGCGCCTTTTGTAGCAAATTGTCGAACTGGCAGTGACGGTACTGTATATATATATATATATATATATATAAAATCATAGTTCATATTTTGATCGCAGCTACCCTGTTTTTCCACCCATTTAGAGTTTTTTTGAAGACTGCCAATAAAGAGCAAATCTTGGTTTATTTTTGACATGTCACTTGTTTTATGTTGTTATTGGGGTTTACTAGTTTACGCGTTTTTAATTCCGCTGATCCGTAACATCCTTCTAAAGGCTTGGCGAATGAAGGAATGTTTGAGATTTATGTTCTAAAACTACTCTTTTAATAGATATCTTTTGAATGGTCACGGCCAATTAGTATACTTCCCTAATAGGTGCAATAAACCGACTACGGTTTGAAGGCATCGGTTTCGTTACATGTATCAATTGAGCTTGAAGCATTGCCAAGCCATCTTTTGCTACCTTGCCTGTTGGGACAACTGGTGCTTATGTGCATTATTTTCCTATCCCCTTTCAAAAGTATTAGGTTTATGTGACTGAACGACATCTTTCAAGATGCACTCAATTCTAATGTCTATTTAATTATGCAGATTATATAGGTGGGTCATGTATAAGTGAAGATGTTCAACGATAATGCACAAATGTTTATTTCACTTTGAAGGAACTTCGCAAGCATTCTTGTCGAACCGCCCTTGTCACTTTTCTTTTTTCAACACGAGATGATCGTTATCGCTGGAAAATCGTCAACATCTGCTGCACCAAAGGCAAAAGATGTCTCGAAAAAAAATTCTAAAAAAAGAAATACCAGTATTTGTTTTTGCAGGCCACCACAACCTCATCTCCACATTTTCCATACCCGCAACCATATTTGTAACTCTCAAATATATAAGTAGACTAATATATATTTAACAGCTGAATGTATTTCTGTTAGTGTCAATAATTGATTTACATCGACATAAGTCACGAGTTTCGCATAGTCTTCGCGCGAAAAAAGTAGTTCTTTCTTGTGTCCTTCATGGAAGTTGTAAAGGTACCATAAAACGAAAATCTAAATATGACAACACCTGTTTTAATTGAAGCAGTATTTGTTCAAAAAACTGTTTTCTATGAACTGAGCAAACCCTTTCTGGTGCTTCGTCTGCAGTGTCTCTGAATTGCATGTACAGTAAGGCGTTGTTCACATCATTTTTTACAGGTGGAGAAATTCTGCATGTGTTGTTCTTGGGTTCCGCAATTTTGCAGGTGTACTTCTTAAATTCCGATGATTACCATTTAGCAAATAATTCTGTAGTTCTTACCATTAGACGAGATCGTTCCGACAAACTCACAGCTCCGTTCGTCTGATTGGAGCAATTAATAAATTGTCATTTTTGAAGATTTGGAAAGTGTACTCTATTTTGGTAGGAGCGTGCCTATCGTCAGCATGCCTGCTTGCGTTTCGCATACCATCTTACGATGCCTTATAGTATCGGAGTTAAGCGTTGAAACAGAGTTCATTATCAATCCACAACTCTCAAAAGGAGTATACTGATTTTCTACTGCAAAAATGAGACTTAAGCAGATTTACCAAATTTAGCTTCTTGCGGCAATTTACAATACAAAATCCATAAATGGTTCACATGCAATAGAGATCTTTTCAACTGAATCAAGTATAAATGTAGATTGCGCAATACAAAAGCTAAAAAGTTCTTATTGTTTTATCGATTTTGAGAGTACCTTTAATTGGAAATATAAACAATGAAGGGGAGAAAAGAAGATATAAATGCAAAATTCCACACAGGAGATTTATATGAAAGAGGTAAAACAATTTCTCCATAAATTTTCTTCTAATTTGCCTCAGCTTAATCTCTTTTACCATACATTGAACTCTGAAAACGATCAAATTGAAAACTGACAAAAATAGAGAATAAGGACTATCTTAAAACAGAAAAGCATAAGAGGATATTTGGTAAAGATATTATTGGATGAAGCTAGTGAAATATGTGGGGATTGTTTAGAATCATACATTCGTAGCTAATAAAATTCTTGTTGCGGGACTATGCTTGTTTCCCCGAGATGGTCTACCGCCTCATCATGGCGCGGAGGTGACTCTGGGTGTCGAATGCGAGGTACAGCTGAGGTTTATCCTCCAGCAGGGTCTCTCAAGCTGAGAAAGAGTTCGAAGTTCCCGGTTCCCCGGATGCCCAGCTAAGAGTAGGCCATACCAGAAGCACCACCGTCTGGCTGATTCAGTCGCTTGGTGGCTCCCTGATCCACATAAGGTCAGCTGC